CTTTGGCTAAACAATCATTGGAAGGCACTTTCTGGACCAGAAATTATTACCATTGAAACACTACTTGGCATGTGATTGCATCTTTGGAGGCCTCATTTGTACTTTTATTCTGTGCCTAGTGGTTTCATTTTGGAACAATTTTCATCTGGTCCTTCTTGTATTTATATTTTATATCTGTATAATTGTACTGTACTATTATATAAGCCAATATGTTCCTCACTGTGTTTGACCTCTGAAGGCCTATACAGGTCGAAATGGGTCAGATCACATCTATTAGCCCTTGTGTGTTGGATTCTGGTATTTTTACATGAGGTGTGATTGGGCTCCTATATATTTTTTAATTCTTTGTTAATAAATACATGTATCTTTTTATATACTATAGATATATTAAGCTTTTATTGTTGGCCCTCTTTTCTATTTGACTAACCTTTTCAGGTTCTGGTGACCTTTGGTCAGTCACAAGTTCTTTCGGAGCTATTCTCTCATGAGCAATTCTTGAAAGAGCTCTCTCAGCCCCACCTACCTCACAGGGTGTCTGTTGTGGGGAGGGGAAGGGAAAGGGATTGTAAGCCGCTCTGAGACTCTAAGTGAAGGGCGGGATGTGAATCCAGTCTCCTCCTCCTCCTCCTCTGGCTGAGACCCACAATATTATTAAAGAAGATCACTGTTCTCTGAGCCTGAAACATGGGCAACCCTACGTTCCTGCAAAAACTGGCATTTCCCTGATGCTGGCACAACTCCGGCATAATTAGCATCCCAATGTTCTATCAGCAGAAAAAGCACACTTAAAAAGACCTGACCCCAAGTATCTGAGGTCCTAGTGACATCGCCAACACCAATCACAAAATGGCATGCTAATAACACCCACCCCATATATGGAAGGAGCCAAACATGAAGGACTGTGGAATGCAAGCAGGGGGCCTATGCATGCTAGACTCTTGAAAGTGCTGCAGAAAGGGGCTTGGATCCCTTTTGCCCAGCACCTACCTTTTTCACAGGTAGGGATTTAATGGAAGAAGCACAATCAGTTCAAACATGTTGTCAAGCCCTCTCTACTGCTCTCCAGGAGAGAACCTTCAGCAAATGCCCATGGTCTCTTTCACATTAGGACTACCAGCACCACGGTAGAAATGAAGCTCTTGAGAGGAAGAAGTTCTTGCAAGGCAAGGGGAACAGACACACTAAGACAGGCAAAGGGCACAAAGGAAGCAAAATAAAATATGTATGTTTAAAAAGTTAGCTCAGCCACAACCCCTCCCCTCCACGGGGTGATGGTTAAGGGTTGTGCAAGTGAGGAGAGCGGAACTCTCTCTGCTCCCAGGCCTTCTCCCCAGACACAGTCTGCTTAGCTCTCTCCCAGGACTGGAGCCAAGGTAGGGGAAAGGCTGTGGAGAGCTGTGGGATTTCACCTCCTGTATCCTCATATCCTTTTTCCTCCTCAAACCAGATACCCCACACTCTTTGTGACAACCACAGACCACAGATTTAAACATTTGGCCCCGGTCACACGGGCAGGAAACTGCGGGTGAGAAGCGTGGCTGTTTGCCCTGGGGCAAACTACTGCGCGGTTACGTGATCAGACCTCCCGTGGAGGTCCTGTGGAGGTACCGTGGAGGTTCCATGGCAAGGGAGAGGTGCTGATCACAGGACAAGCCGGCGCGCAACAAAGAAGCGCGCGCCGCGGCAAACTGTTTTTTGTGTGTGTGTACACGACAAATGTGCATGCTCCGTTGGGTGCGTGTGCACATCCACAGAGACGTGGACAAAAAAACCCCCACCTTATTTGCAAGGGGACATGGGCGGGCGCCGGATGCCACCAGAAACGCGATCAGACGCCCGCCCTTGCCCCGCAGTTTCCGGAAACTAGTACCTCCGAGGTACTAGTTTTTTGCCACGCAGTTTCGACTGGAAGCCTCGGTTGAGCCACGGGAGTGCTACGCTTCCCAGATGTGCTGGTGAGATCGCGCCCGGAAACTCTGCCTGTTTTCCGTCTCACTTGTGTGGCTTCTGTTCCGTGTGACCGCAGCCTTTATTTATTTAATTCACTTATATGCCACCTTTCTGACTAATTGGAACCCATTTCTTCCCTCTTTCATCTTATCCCCAGAACAACCCTGTGAGACAGGTGGGGCTGACTGTACTGGTGCTAGCACACTACCGTTCCGGCCTCCATGGAGTTGCAGCCAGAAGAAAACAGACTCCCTAGGCTAATTAATCCTTCTCCTGCCATAATCTGTAGAACTATTTTATGACATGTGAGCTTCCCCAGGGTCTTGCTCCATATTCCTGGCAGCTACTGATAAGCACACAGACATTTCACATCGTAGGTCGGACATACACCCAGCCTGAGGAACACTCACCACACAGCAACATTCCTACAGTGATTTTTAACACAGCCTCCATAGCTTAATGAGCAAAGTGTGAAAGGTCTTTAAAAGGCTTCATCTGACATTCTGCAAGAGTTCTTAAAAGTGTCAGATCCGAGCACAGCACTTTTCCATCCTACCCACCTGAATTGAAAAAATGTAAAGGAGCTCAGCTGCCCCCCAGTTTACAGATCAAAATGTAACGGGGATGTGTAAAAATGCTTTCCATTGATAATGCCTGAGAAGCACACACCCTCCTTTGTGTTTGATGTGGGTACACATGCCAGGGATCAGGACTGGCTTCAGCTCTCCGCTGCAATGGCAGGATAGTGAACATGAGTTTGCTGCTGTAGGCTAATCTCATGTACTTGAAGCTGCCTTCTTTGTTTAATTTTGCTTTGCTCCTCCTTAAATCTTTAGGGATTCATGCATATGTAGCAAGGCAAGTAATTGTGCTGTAAGGTAGGAAGTCCTTGGTTCAAATCTTACCACAAGCCTACCATGTGGCTTCAGGCAAGCCATTCTTTTGTTCAGTTCCTTGTCTGCAAAGGGAGACTAATAATATGGAACTACTTTACATAATTATTGTAAGAATTAGTAAGGTAATTTATGTAGATTACTAGACCCTTCTAAACTCATGGACTTCAGTGGACTTAGAAGGGTGTGACTCTGCTTCAGATAACATTGTAAATTGCTGTATAAATGTAAAGTATTGTTATTATGTTTATCACTTGGTCAGTAGCTTGCATCATATAGCCTCTTGAAGCATGTGAACAGCTGGACAATCAGTCTGTGCAACCCACAATACTTTCTGTGACTATCTCATAGGAATACTTTTCATATACAGAATAAAAGCTAATTTTAGATCTGGAAAAGTTTTCCTTCAACACCACGTTTTCTGCTGCTTGCATTAACATGCTTGTTAATAATTTCCAGAGCGCCATCTGCTTTCAAAGATTCTGAGTAGTAGGGCAGTATTGCTAGATGAGGTCATCAAAGCAATAATTGCATACCCAGGTTTTTAAAAAGAAATGACAACCAAACTTGCAAACTGCCATCAAGCCTACGAGAGGATATCCTGTGGGAGGTATCTCCTAACACCACTGTTGACAATCCTATTTAAAAGGCATTTGAAATATTGTGCGTTCAACCAAAATCAAAGCTAATTATTTTTGCAGTTTTTGTGACTGCAGAGGATATTCCATCCATTTCCACTTTCAGATGTTAACTTCTGATGTAGCATTGTATTTTGCAAAGATGACTGACCCCTCACCTCCATACCTACTTATGTTTCAGGTTGAGAAAGCAATCTAGTAGGCAGCAGGCATTCCAGGGTAGAGTAATGCAACCAGACATTTGTTGGGAGCAATGCTTTTTAAGGCACATTCCAGATATCTCAAAACTATAGAGACTATTTTGAACTCACCAATGGTCTTGAAGGACTGCCTCCACCTATAATGTATAGCCCTATAATTAAGATCCTGTTCTGAAGCCCTGCTCTCTGTGCCCCTACCTCGGAGGTGAGGAGGGTGGTAACCAAAGAGGGCTTTTTCAGTGGTGGCACCTTCCTTTAGGAATGCTCTCCCCCTTGAAGGTCATATGGTGTCTATCTTGCACTCCTTTGGGCACCATACTAAAATACTCATGCTTTTAATTAAGAGGTATTATCTCTTATTTGCTGTTTATGGACAGTTTCTGGCTCGCGGACTCTTTTTATCAAAAGAATGTTAGGCCGCTCAGCGTGTATTGTATCCTGTTTTATGCCCTGGCTTGTTTTTAATGGCTTGTTTGACTTCAATGTGCTTAGACAAGAATAACTGTGCAGAGGATTGCAGTGTTCATTGCTTTGTTTTATTTCTTTTAAGGCTGTTTCTTAATGGTTTTCCTTTATTGCTTTAGTTGTAAGCTGCCCTGAGCTGGACTCTGAAGAGGTGGCATGTAAACTTTCCAAATAAACAAACAAATAAAGATTGTCCTCATGTACAAATGTTTTATACATGGGTTAGACTACAGAACAACAATTAAATATACATCAAGATGGGTAGCCATGTTAGTCTGTCTGTAGCAGTAGAAAAGAGCAAGAGTCCAGCAGCACCTTAAAGACTAACAAAATATGTGGCCGGGTATGAGCTTTCGTGAGTCGCTACTCACTTCTTCAGACTGAAGAAGTGAACAGTGACATAACAAAGCTCATACCCTGCCACATATTTTGATAGTCTTCAAGGTGCTGCTGAACTCTTGTTCTTGGCGACATAAGATTCACATTACTAAGCAATTTAGCAAACAGATTTGAACCTTGTGTGAGAGAACACCCAAAAGAAATCAGCTTTCCTGATCTTGGGATGTGAGAATAAAGCAAACTGAACATACCATTCCCGTGGAGAACAAAGAAGAAAAACAATACTAAAGATTGTGAACTGTATCTACAATACTTGAGTAACTAGAACCAACAACAAAAAAGAGAAATCGTAGCATAATGTCAAATGGATACCAAGCAATAAAAATGAAGACCTCTGAAGCAACCCGGATGGAAGTCCTATAAATAGAGCCCAATTGTCAGCACGTAAAAAGGATCTGAGTCACACCCAGTGAAGTGATTACTCTGACAGAGCTAAAAAGGAGATGCTACATCAACCGATAAACTAGTGTGTAAGAGGCTGTGCCGCTGATCAGGACTCCTCTGCTTTGACTGAACACAAGAAAGCAACAAGTGACCGTATTCTTTGAGCAATGGAAGGAGTACTAGTTATACGCCACTGGGTGGAAACTCCAGCACGTTATCAGGAGCATTTTGCTGAGCAAGATCTTGAAGGCTGCCGGTTAAACCATCGCCTGTATGCCTTGCCCGGCCCAGCCACAGCTGTTCAGGGAAAGTACTCACGGACAACGAAGAGCACAGTGGAGGCGGCACAGAAGGGCACAGAGGAAGGAAGGCCCCAATTTCAAATCTTGCTAGACATTGTGCAATTCCGTCCCGAAGACGTTATCATTCAGACCTTTGAAGGCTGGCTCCTGGTTAAAGCTCAGCATGGACCGAGGATGGATGAACATGGCTTTATAGCCAGAAGCTTTACTAGACAATACAAATTGCCAGAGGGAGTCGAAACAAAAGATCTGTCTGCTCTCTTCTGCCATGATGGCATTTTGGTTATTGAAACCAAGACCTTGGCAGAGAATTAATGATGAGAGACTTTTCGTTACTGGTGAGACAATAAGATTTCCACTGTAACTTGAACAATCTGATGCCGTGGCATTGTGCATGCAGAGTTGTGTTTTCCAATAAGGGAAAAGTCAAGCTTTTGCATATTTTATTCAGTAAATTGAGTTTGTTTGATGTGAAAGACAATATTTGCTCACAGCAGCTGCATATTTTCTGGCTGTCTTAGCAAGTGGAAAAAGTATTTCTGCCCAGCTATCTAACAGAACAGACAGAAGGCAGGAAAACAATGCACATGAGGAATTTAGAGGATATAAGAGGAGTGTGAAAATGTGTGGAATGGGGGGATGCATCTCAAGACACCCATACTCTTGAGGGAAACTTTGAAGACTGGACTATGCATGTGAATGAAATGTAATTTTCATGCCTGAAAATGCTTTTATCAGCACCGTGACCACAATCCAAAGAAGTCATTTATGTGCAAGGAAGAGAATCACACAGCTGGAGCTTTCTTTAAAGTTTGCCCTGCAGCAGTTCCCACTCATGAAAAGGCAAACAACCTTTAAAACTGAGTAATGGCTTTGCATCCCCAGACAGATCACTATATTGTACAGCTGTATGCACAGAGAGATTATTTTCCCAGTCTAACAATTGTACTTCAAAGTGAGTTTCTTCCCCACAAAGTTTTGTTACACATGTTGTTTTAAATTCTCCGGTATTCTGCTTTTGGAAGAACTGCAGTTGCTGAGCAAGACTGCTGTCTTTTCATGTGTTTTTAAGATAAGTATGACTGCTGAGCTATGAATAGTAAAAGAATTCAGAGGAGAAAGCCAAGCTAAATATAGGCTCTCTTTATGGACACCTGCCATGTGGGCGAATTAAAAGATAGATTAACTGAAATATTCCATCTAAATGACTAGAAGATAAATGTTTTAACAAATGTGCTATTACCTATTTTTAAAAATGCCCTACTTTTTAACAAAAGCTTCATATTTGTCTGTGAATGTTTTTAAAGATATTGGACCCAGACTGGGAATAGGGGTGCCAATAATGTGGAGGGAAAAAATGTACTGCTCCTTTCAACAGAGGATTCATGTGTGGAAAAGGAAAAGGGCAGGCAAAGCTTTCCATGGCACGGAGGCAGATTACATCCCAGTGAGGATGTATTGAGGGGCAGGATTTCTTTTCTCCAGGTTGTTGGCACAAGAGAATGCCACAAACAAGGATTTCTCCCCCCAGCAGCAATAGTCACAATCAGGTCATAATACTGATCATTGTTTAGGAGGGATGGAAGGAGGAAAGTGTTTAGATGGAGGCTCAAAACCAACACCTAAGATCAGTGATCGCCACTGTTATGGGCACTGATTAGGCAGAGAACTGTGGATGGCCCACCCTTGACCTGATGGTTAGGTGCAAGTTCTCCCACCCCATCAATCTTGTATGCATTCAGCAGGCTGCTGCAAATGTCGACAACCCTTTCCTTATGTACATATTATTGGTTAGATCAGAGCTACAGTGACTTAAATTAGCAGCTGCGGTGGCTCAAGTGGTTAAGACGCTGAACTGCAGGCTGTGGAAAGTCGGTAGTTCAGCAGTTCGAGACCCGGGTGCCGCATGATGGAGTGAGCTCCCGTCTCTAGTTCCAGCTCCTGCCAACCTAGCAGTTCGAAAGCAAGAAATTGCAAGTAGATAAATAGGTACCACTTCGGTAGGAAGGTAACAGCGTTCCGTGCGCCTTGGTGTTTACTCATGCCGGCCACATGACCACAGAAACGTCTTCGGACAGCGCTGGCTCTTCGGCTTTGAAACGGAGATGAGCACTGCAACCCTAGAGTCAGATTCGACTGGCTTTCAAGCAAGGGAACCTTTACCTTTACCTTTACACTCAAAATCAACTCCCCACAGTCTTTCAACATTTCCTCCTACAGAACTCTGAACGTCTGTTTACAAGGGTAAACAGGCATCTGTAATGCCATAATAAAGGGGGAGCATCTTGGGCAAAAAAAGAGAGAGAGAGAGCAAATAAAAGGCAGGAAAGGGTTAAGTACCCCCTTCTCTTCTCTAGATTCCCATCTCCTGAAGCAGCTGTGCTTTTCATAAAATAGTATGAGGCCACTATTATATGTATGTTAGCATGCAACATGCAGTTAACCCCTAAAATAGTGGATATCTGTATAGCAGAGGAATTAGGTCAGCAAGGAATCTTGTTGAAAGAACATAGAAGACATATTTAGGATGTAGCTCCTGTTTCTGAATTCTGCAGAGGGCAAATCCACATCTCCAGCAATACTTTTAGTACTAAATAAATGACAACAAGTTATCAGCTGCACTATTTTGTTGACAAAAACACTTCCTCTTGCCTGGTGATCATTTTTCTTTCTATTATGACCTTCCTGTCATATAAAATTTAATTCCTACCCAATTTTCTGTTCCTTACCTGGTTGCTTCCGTTTTCAGAATGAATATTAAAGAGTGAGGATCACATTTATTTGTTTATGTTATGTATAGCCCGTCTTTCTCACTGGGACTCAAGGAGATAAGTTAATACAATTAACAGGGACATCCAATAAACAGTGCAATGGGATTTGGAATTGTAGAAATCTGGAACCAACCAGAAATATGAAACAGTGGGTTTCCATGGGATGATATAGTACATTATAACTGCTATACCCAGCATGTTTAAAATCTGATGAGACCAAACTATCAGAGACATTGAGAAAGCTACTAATACTGGTCTGATCTGTTAGCATTTATGATGCTATGCCACACACAGTATACAAAGTACGAGTTAGTATACAAAGTACGAGTGATATACTTTTGAGAGTGTCTTAATGTTTGCTTCCCTCCTCCCTCAGGACCATGAATAAAAACAGATAAAACTGTATAAGTTACATAGTAGATGTCATCAGGTGGTATCAGATTCCATAAGTGAATTATCCTGGTAACAAATCATAATAAAGCATCAATCCATATATTGCCTTGGCTATATATGCACTCATCCTTACAATAACTTTGATAATCTTTGGCAAAAGTTCACTTTTTAGTCTGCTGACAATACATACGGACAACTCTCACGTGCACTGGCAGAGTGAGAATCACAAGCAGACATAAGCACAGGAAAGGGTTTTCCCCTCTCCACTTGTAGTCACCAATCAACAGAAATATAATAAAATTATCTGCAAACAAAACAGAATAATTTTCATCCACTGGCATGGGATTTTGATCTAAAAGATACCTTCATGCAGGACACTGAGATGAGCCAAGTCAGTATCCTTCTGGCTGCAAGCCTAAATATGCTTTTCTAAGAATAAATCCCATTGTGTAAAATAGTAGGACTTGCTTCTGAATAGGACTGTTTTAAGATTATGTCCTTAATTTAGCAGATGTCTGACACTTGCAGTTGTCAGCTGGTGCATCTAGAGAATTCAACCATTAATCTGTTTGCTATGGAACAGAAAACACCTTTTAAAATATCGTGCATGTGTTATGAGTAATTTGGGGTTGCAGGTCTTTAGATAATGGAAATAAGTCTGCTGGGGGTTTTTTTCACAGCATCACAATATTTTTAAAAACTTTCAGTCAATTTCTTTGAGGAAAAACAGCTGCGCTCAGATCCCAAGAGAAAGTGATCAATGCAATTTATAACTTAGAGTGCTGTAGAAAGAAATTGCTTAAGTCAAAAGCTGTAATAGAAATGAAAAGTGATTTAGAGGCAGGGGAAGGAGAAAGGGAGATTTCCAATATCATCCCGCTGCATCCTCAGTGTTTCATTAAGACAGACCTTAACAAATTTTATTTGGACCTAGGAGCTAGCCCCAAAATTAAGGAGCCAAGACTCATCCATAACAAGTACAATTTTTTCACTGTCATATTAAGCAAGTTTAATGTTGCCTCCAAGTTATAATTTTACTGGGTTGCCAACTGACCAGGGGGAAAATGTCTTGTCCCTTTAGTGGAGGATTAATGGGACATTTCTTACCAGCAGATGTTATTTCCTTCCAAACTACAAAAAGCTTCAACAGTCCATTTCTACATATTAAATCTCTATTAAAGGGACTGGTCATTTTTCTTCACACCAGTTGGCAACCCTAAATTCAACAGCTCAGGCCCTACTCTAAGTGGTAAAAACATCAGTTAGCATGAAAAGAACAGGGCCTTTACCTCAATTATCCCAAGGTTCTGGAATGCCTTCCTCACTAAGGTGCAGAGTTGTTTCTTCCTCATCTTCTTTTAGATGGGGTGCAAAATGTTTCGTGCATGTGAGGATCTTTTCCTGAAGAGGAAATCCCCAGAGAAGCCTGAAACTTTCATTAGGGATGGGCACGAACCAGTTAAAGTTCATCATGAATTTTGGACGGTTCGTGTTTTGTGAAGCAATGTTTGTGAACTAAAGAAGCACCACGAACTTTCACAAATTGTGATGCTGTTTGTGGTGGTTTGTGAAGAAAAACAGCTGAAAACTAAATGAAAAGCAGCTTCATGAAAAACAGCTGTTTGGTTTAAAGGACTTGGAACCACTGCTTTCTGCTTCCCATGAAAAACCACACGGAGCAGAAAGCAGGGGTTTAAATGGCTCCAAGTCTGGGGCTGCCTGCCCAAAACAGCCCCTTTAAAATGCTGACCTGCGTGGAGCAAACTCCTTTTCAACTCAAGCATGAAGTCCTTTGGGGAGTGAGGTGAACAGATTTCAAACGAGAGCCCTCACTTCAATGATTCAGTAAATACAACTCATAAATACAACTCAAAATCTACTCTATTATTTGTGCTTTGAATTATTGCAATATTACTGGAAGCTGGCTTGAAGACTGAAAGACTTGTTGGTTCCACCCTAGGCCAGGTTTCTCTGTCCTCCCTTCCATCCTTGAGGGGGAAAGTCTCTTATCTTTGTCCACTCCACATGGCTGCAGACCCCTGGGTTGAGCCAGCAGGGGCTCTTTCTTATGTTACGTTCCCAACAAAGGCAAAGGAGAGCCAGCAGAGTGCATATCCAGCAACAAATTAGTTCTGTGCTAGAAGTTTTGCAGAGCATTCCTTTTAAGGGGTGAATGCTCCCTTTAAACTGTGGAGTCTTGTGAGCAAAAATCCTACTTTGTGAGCTACTGGCATTAAAGCTGTGAGTGAGCGATTTGGCTAGTGCATAAATTAGTTTGCTCTGGAGACATCCTTCCTGAGCTAAGACAAAAATGTATGCGCCAGTGATGAAAAAAGTGTGAGCTAGTTCATGCTAACTCAGCTTACAGGGAACACCGGACCCCTTTCCCTCCTCCTCCTCCTCTTAAACTCTAGCAGAATTTACAGGCTGAGGCCCACCTGAGTTCTAGGCACCATAAGCAAACTTAAGATCTCAGTGGTGACCTGGAGCCTGGAATTGTTGAGGCCTTCATTACGAAAAAGATATTTTTTGGGGGGGGGTTTCCTTTAAGGAATATTGAGTGTACAGCAGTCTGCTAAAAACGGCATTTAGGTTAGATTTAGTTTATATCAGTTTTTTTTAAACTATATTTAATACTTCACTATACCCAGAAATGCATCCAATAGCATACTGTCCAGTAAATATCATGTCAGATTTACTAAGCATAAGCCATGACCAAGATTCAATGAATTACTTAGGGCATAACCAAATAGCAGATCCCCACCCCCAATGCACACACAGTATATCACAAGTCATTTTTGGAAGCCCATTTAAATGTGGTTTATTGTTTGGGAGGAAGATGTTTGAGGAGGGAAAGTCTAGATCTCCTTGGCATGCACAACTAATTGCACAGCTCTTTGAATCCCAGTGAATGGCAGAATTTATTGCTCCAGTAAATATTCAATATGCTCCACTTTGCATTGAATCTACACAGTGCACACCCACGCCACACTGTATCTGATTACACTTACATTGCCAGTGCATAGGAGTGCTGTACAACAGTCTGCTAAAAACGGCATTTAGGTTAGATTTAGTTTATATCAGTTTTTTTAACTATATTTAATACTTCACTATACTCAGAAATGCATCCAATAGCATACTGTCCAGTAAATATCATGTCAGATTTACTAAGTATAAGCCATGACCAAGATTCAATGAATTACTTAGGGCATAACCAAATAACAGATCCCCACCCCCACTGCACACATAGTATATCTAGGGTTGCCAAGTCCATCTTCCACCCCCAGCAGGGGACTTTGGGGGCGTTCCTGGAAGGGGTGGGGGACGTCTGCTGCCCTCCCCACCTGGCTGTGCGCCGGATCTCCAGAAACAGCAGTTCCCTGCACTTAAAGTAGCCGGCAGCCGGCGTTTCCCCTTTAAGAGAAGCTGCGTTTCCCTTTTAAGAAATAGCAGATCCCCACCCCCAATGCACACACAGTATATCACAAGTCATTTTTGGAAGCCCATTTAAATGTGGTTTATTGTTTGGGAGGAAGATGTTTGAGGAGGGAAAGTCTAGATCTCCTTGGCATGCACAACTAATTGCACAGCTCTTTGAATCCCAGTGAATGGCAGAATTTATTGCTCCAGTAAATATTCAATATGCTCCACTTTGCATTGAATCTACACAGTGCACACCCACGCCAC